TAAATATAAAGTTTTCTTTATGTTTCAAAGTTGCTTAGCTCAAACATCAAAAAAAGTTGTCTACGGCCTTGAGGTGTATATAAGTGTAATATAAATTGAAGTGTTACAACTTCAATTATTGAAAAATAAATGTTTTTTTTATTGAAATTTTAACAACCAAATACGGCATCGCGTATATAAATTCAGGGCCGACGACGCAAGCACAAACGTCAATTCTTAAAAAAAAATCTTCTATATCTAGAATTTTCATATAAAAGAAAAAAAAATAAGGTCCTTGAGAAAAAAGTGGGGGCTCCTCCCCCTTCCTGCCCTTCCTCGGGTCGCCAGCCCTGAAATTATAAGACAAATTAAAATTAAAAAAAAAATTTTCATAATTTTTTTTCGAAAGTTTTGAAAAAAAGTTTTTAAAATTTTTAAAAATAAAACGATAAAAATTTTTATGTTTTTTATTAATATCTAATTATATAGTAGATATAATAGAATGAATTAATGACGATAACATTAAAACGTTTAGAAACTTTTGTTTTTTTTATGATGTCCTAAAAAAGTTAAACATGCAACGGTTGATTTTTTTTTTTTGTAATTCTCTGAAATAGTTTAGTTTTGCAAAAAAAAAATGTAAGTAGTTAGCTGCAGAACAGTTTTTTGTATTTTGTTATTTCTTTTACGAATTTTTCAATAATTTTTTGAAGATTGACATATCTTGGGGGAGGTAGTTACCCCTTACCCCCCCCCCCCCATCATCCTTTGCATTCGCCACTGGCCTAAGCATATACTGTAAAAAGTTGAAAAATGACCCGCTCTAATGTTTATGTCCCCGACGTAAACATAAACATGCTTACGCGATATACTTTTTTTGATTTGAATTTGCGCAGATAAGTTTAAACAGCCAGCTGGTTGTCTATAAATAGCATTGATGATGACGTTTTTAGCAAGTTAGTTTATTATTTCAAGAAAGACTCATAATCTGCATCATTAATACTTAGGTTATAACGTTTAAAGTCAATAGAATTGTAAATAAAATGATAATAACACCACATACGCAAATATTTCGTATTTAATAAACTGATAAAAAATTTCTGTTTACTAACAAATTTGAATTTTATTCATTGGTTTAAGCCAAGTTTCTGTGACAAATTATTTTGAAATTATGGTTAATTTCATTCAGTAAATATATAAAGTTTTCAAAATTTTTATTTATACTTCAATATTAATATGCTAAATTGAAAATTCTTAAAAAGATATTGAGTTGTCCCATATATTGAATTGTACTCACTTTCTAAGATGATTTCAATATTACAATTAACAGTCATTATCGCAAAGAATATATTTCTAGCCAACTTATTTAAACTGAAGCGCTATGAATTTGGGTTCGCAAACAATCTATCTTTTAACAATAAAACTTTTCAAGATTCCGTAGTAATACGTATCTTTTATATAGAGAGCAAAAGATCATAATTTTAGGAGTTATATAAATATACTTTTAGGTGTCAATTATCCTGTATTGGTAGCTGTAACCTGTATTGGGAGCTCGTCCTATTTTTAACATTACAACCCATTTCAAGTAAAAATAGTAATAAACTTTAAACAACCGGAGATTTAACCGTTTTATGGGAGATCTGTATATCTAAGGTCCGATGTATGGCTACTAGGGTTTGCAATCCCGGGATCCTAAAATCCCAGGATCCCGTCTAATTTTATAACTCCGAATTCCCGGGATTTTAAAAATATCCCGTGATTTAGAAATTATAAAACTACGATTAATACCTGCGTTACCGATTAATACCTGTGTTTAAATTGCGTCAAAAAAAAAACAAAAGGAACAACAAAGTTTTATAAGTTTAAAGTAAGTTTAATCAATCTTTACTGGCGCGTTTAATAAGAAACTAATTTTAATTATTAAAACTAAATTGTAATAATAGTATAAATAATAAAATATAATAATAAAAATAATGGAAAAAAGTTTAAAATATATTTGTATTGATTTATAATGTGTTTTTGTAATAATAGAGTGAATTTATTTAAATTTATCGAACTTTAAAAATTCAACTTAATTAAAAAAGTTAAAATGGTTTATAAATTCTTATATTTTCTTCGATTCGTCAAATTAGGATCCACGACTAATTTCATAGAGTTTATTAGCAAAACCATATTTTCTGCGCAACAATAAAAAAGTGAACCAGCAATGTGTAAACTAAGCCATTGCAAAAAATATTGAAAATTACTGACGGATCAACAAAAGCTCTTCATTTGCATTCAATCTTCAATTACATAAAATAAATTTAAATGCAGAACTGGCACGTTCTCCAACATCGGAACAAGAACCACAGAGCAAAATAAGTAAAATTATTTCATATTTTTCATCAAATATGAATAAAGAAAATAATTTGTCTAAAGTTCTTGCAAGATTAACAGCTAAAGATGGAGTTTCTATTAACGTAATATGCACTTCTATTGATATAAGTGCTTGGCTAGCTATGAGGCGACTTTTTAACAGACCTAAATCTCCAAATACTGTTTAAAAAATGGTACTAGATTTCTCTAACGATATGAAGAAGGTTATAAGATTTAAGACAAAAAATTAACATTAGAACTAAGTTTTCATTTTTTTGTTTATGAATGGATGTCGATTTGATATAAAAGTTATTTGTATATCAAATTACAATTTTTGGAATTTAGGTTTAAAAGGATTGTGACAACAATGCCAGATGAAAAGTGTGTAATTTTACTTAAAGAAAAACATAATTCCCGATTCGATGCTGACGTCACGTTAGAGTTTATGCTAGCTCAATTAAAAGAGCTGAAAACTACAAAAAGTTGTCAACTTATCGACTTTAATGCATTAGTCTCCGGAATAAAAGAGCGAAGAACTTAAGTAAATTTGAATTTAGAATGAATTAAGTAGTCTACTGCACTATCTACATTACGGAGAAAACAAATTAATGTCCATAGATGAAGTTTTTGAAACATCTCCAAATTTTAAAAATAAAAAATAAATGTTGAAACTTTTTAATAGATTATATGTAACAAATTTAAGTCACCCTACAAGTTCCTTGGACAGTGTTGAAGATTTAGTATGTTTTCTAGCAACACCCAAAAATTCTTTGTCAAGATTAGGCGAAACTCTTACTTCTAAATAATCAAAAGAAATGTCATTGTTTGAAAGCAGTTGTACTCGGTGTGATAGTTTTCAGAAAATTTGGGATTTTTTAATGATGACTAAGCTAATGAGTGTAGAATCAGAAAGGGCATTTTCCTCCGCAGGACTATTCTGCAATAAAATAAAAAGTTGCTTAAGTGTTAATAGTTTAGATAGCTTGAGCTTTCTGCGAGAATATTTTCTAAAGACAAAATAAATAATATAGTTTACAAGTTTTCATTTTACTGCAATATACTTAATTAAGTTATGATTTTTCTTTTAGTTTTAAAGCACAAAATAATGCCGCAATTTCCCGAAAAAATCCGAGAATTAGGCATTAATTATACAATCCCCGGTAGTTTTCCGGGTTTTTGCAAACCCTAATGGGTAAGTTGTACATGGGATGCAATATGCTTAAATATTATAAATAGGATAACATTAATCAAATAATATTCAGAACAACACTATATAATGTAAGTTATACAGCGTTGTATAACTATATAATCCGTTGCAACGGACCGGTAATACCATTTCCTATTTTTCACATAAATTCTCGAAATTTTACCCAAGCGTTCAGTGGTAACTTATTATTTAAAAATATTTTTTATGGTATAAAGTAAAATATGGCCTTCAAATACCATATTTTTGAATACGTGTGTCATGCGGAAATTTCAAGAAAATAAGAAACGGTAAACAACGTTTGGTTTTGAAAAACAAGTTTTATATAGCATGAGACCTCTATAAAACATTATAGCGAATTCAAGATTGCCGAAGTTAGAGTAAATGCAGAGCCAAATAATAATTAGTAGCGTTAATGACATGATCAGCAAGGGATAAAAGTACTGTCAAAGCCACCAGATGTTGAAGTTCTTAACGATATATTCTTAACGATAGCAAAAGACGTATTCTTAACGGTATAAGCAGTGCTAAGAGAAATTGATGAGAAAACAATTCTTAAATAGAAAGAAGTAACAGTGCAATTTGTATCTACCTATTCAAATCTTTCCTTTAGTCGTTTAAAACGCTTTTCTTTCGTACACGGTCGTTTAGACTTTACAAATAAGTGGAAAGTTATTATACGCAAGCGCAGTAGATTTAAAAATAATTTAGAATTTTAAAAATGGCTACGGATGCAGCGTTTTTAAAAACTTATCATTGACAACGAGTAACTTGTTTAATTTTAGATAATTTAATAGGCTTTTAACTATTTTTTTAAATAAAATTATTGTGAAATAACTTGTAGCTTTACTAAGAAATGTTTTAAATAAAATACAAGACCTCTGAATGTGAATAAAATCTATTTTCAGCTAAAGCTACTTTTACTGTTTTTGTTTATAATCTTTAAACCTTTTTAAAAAAAATTTTGAGCGTAGAAATTTTTAAATTTTTATTTATTTAGCAAGATGAACATTTTATCTTTTTTGCATTTTTTGCTTATATGAGGATTCAATTTTTTTTGCAGGTTTAAAATAAAACCTTAATCGTTAACTTTTTGTAACCTGTTGCTACGGTACTCCTTTCCGATGTATATATATATATATATATATATATATATATATATATATATATATATATATATATATATATATATATATATATATATATATATACACACATATGAATTTGTAAAAATTCATATGTGTATGATATATAAAATATATGTATAAAATATATATTTATAATATATATATATATATATATAAATATATATATATATATATATATATATATACATGTATATGTATACATGTATATATATATATATAATATATATAATATATATAATATATATATATATATATATATATATATATACACGTATGAATTTGTAAAAAGTTTTTTTTTATATAACTGTATATATATACCATTTTTTAAATAGTCTAATATTAAATAAAATGGAACTTCACAACAAAAATATTAAACTCCTTTGCAGAGTTTGTGGACAGTTACTTGGTAAAAAGCATTATTTTATATCCAAAATTCTTAAAGTAAAATTAGAGATGCTGTTTCATGTTAAAATGACAGATTTGGAAATTGTCCATCCTCAAAAAATGTGTAAAAAATGTTATTGTACAATAAACAATGTGCTTTCAAGAAAAACATCAACTGCCCTTGGTCTCTGTACTAAATGGAAACCACACTGCGATGACTGTTTTACTTGCCAATCAGTAAAAAATCTTAGAAAAGGTTTAATTTCTAAACAACAATCTAAAAAAAAAGCAAGATGTAGTGGCCGCCAAAAAAATGATTCAAAGATGTGGACATTTGCAATGTTCACTACAATAAAAGAAGCAATAACCATAATACATGATGAAGACATAGATATATCAGAGCTAAATAATGAGTTAAATCCTCATTTGCAACATTGCTTATGTAATATATGTGGTAAAATTCCAAAGCAACCTTTAACTTTAAAAAAATGCGAGCATCTTTTCTGCTTTTTTTGTATTGTAGAAAATATCAAGTTAAAGCCAATTAGTAAAGCAATATGTCCTCAATGCCAAGAACATTTATTATATGAAGATTTATTAACAAGTAACAAAACAAATTCTCTCATTAAAATGTTGACTGTTGCATGTATTTTATGCCAAATGAAATTTAATATAATTCAAGAATATGAAATCTATAAAAATCATAAAGACATATGTTCTAAGAAGGCCACATTTTTGCCATTAACATTGCCATTGTCATCATTAGCAGTGTCACCAACAACTTATTTAAAACCATATTCATCTAAAACCAACATATCAGATGTTTTTAAACTAACAAAAGACAGTGTAGTTCCAAGAATAGTTGAAGATGCTGCTCTTCACACTATCAAACAAATGATGGCTAAAAGTGAAGAAAACTTAGTTACATTTAGAAGTGGAGGGCCAAGAGTAATATATATATATATATATATATATATATATATATATATATATATATATATATATATATATATATATATATATATATATATTTAATGTGATATCAAGTACTGTTATTTCACTTAATTGTAAATGTCCTAAGTGTATATGGTACATTATATCCTAATTTGTATAATTATTTTAGCCTGTTTTGTTTTCATCTGTTTCACAAGCTTATGTTTGCAGCAACAAGGCATCAATCAAAACATTAAGATGTCGAAATATTTTGGTAAAAAATCAGCTGGAAATTATTGCAGGTAAATCTAATGATGCAGTTGGTTGCCAATCCTCAAAGCTGCTTAATTCATTTCAACCTGAAATGAGGGAATTAATATTAACCAATTCAAATATTAAAAGAGTTACGATTGGTGCAGCTGAGATTATAGCAATGAAAGCAGATTTAAGTTTGCCTTGGGAAAAACTAAAAACAATTTCTAGGTAGATAATTTTCTTGCAGATTTTAGGTTTTGTTGAATTTTATTGTAGCATTTGTAATAATAATTATAATATTATATATATATATATATATATATATATATATATATATATATATATATATATATATATATATATATATATATATATATATATATATATATATATATATATATATATATATATATATATATATATATATATATATATATATATATGATGCTAATAATTTCATAATGTCTATATATATGTGTGTATATATATATATATATATATATATATATATATATATATATATATATATATATATATTGACAGGTGGTTAAAGACATTCGATATTAAAATAGCCTCACATGCTTCACAAAGGCTACTTTTTGAAAGTTTATTAGGAGACGATATCATAGTTGAAAATGCTCCATTTGCATTTCAAAAAGAAGTAAAAGGTACCTTTGAAATTAAATTGGCACCTTGGGGCTAGATAGAACATTTGCCAACAAATATCCTAAGGCATCTTAATAAATTAGAAAGGTGATTTAATAATAATAATAATAATAATAGCAATAATAATAATAATAATAATAATAATAATAATAATAACAACAACAACAATAATAATAATAACAATACTTTAACTTTATAAAATACACATTTATTTGAAAATTATAATGCATTCTAATCTGTATCTTTCTTTTAGCTGCAATAGTCTTATTAATCATGAATTTATTTTAGTGTTTAGCATTTTTGAAGCCAAAGATTACAGAATTAACATTAAAGTAACCATAGAAAGGTTTCAAAAGCAAATTGAAGATCTTCAAAGAATGAAATATAAGTAAGTTGCATAAATATGATGAACTGATTTTATTTGTATAAGTTTGTAACATCCATGTTTATTTTTATAAGTTTAACATCCTATTTTGTTTGGACAAGTTCCCATAATGCAATTTTCATATTTAAGTTTTATTATGAAAGAGTTTTTGGCAATTTTGTACAATAAAAAGAACTTTTTGGGTGTTAAATATAGTTACATTTTTGTTTGTAAAAGTTAAGAATATATTTGTTACAATGTTGTTAGTTATTTTGGTTTGGATTAAATATTTAAATCTAGATAAACGATTTTAGATAATCTGACAGATAAAAATTACCATAGTTGGAAATGTAATTAAATTTTTGTATTAAGTATTATTGATTATTTCATATAATAATTATTGGATTCACCATAGGGATAATAGCATCAGAGTGTTTGTTTTTGGAGATTATCAGTTTCTTTGTGCACTCTATGGTATTTCTGGAGCTACAGGTAATTTTTAACTAAGAAAATAGCTAATAAATTTAATATAATTTTCATTAAATTATAAAGTTTATTTATATTTATATATATATTTAAATTTATATATATATTCAAGGGAGACATTGTTGTCTTTTTTGTAATGCTACATCGACTGATATGAAAGGTATTGAATGTCAAAGCGCAGAGATAAAAGTTCGTACCTTAGAAAATTTGTATACTGATTATAAAAGTTTCATAGAAAAGGGAGGTCGGCTGAATGATGCTAAACATTTTAATAATGTTGTAACAGAGCCAATGTTAAAAATACCTTTAGATCAGGTATAGATGTTTTGTTCATTATTAATTTAATCTTTTGTTCATTACAAATTTAATCTTTTTTAAATAAGTATTTACACCTCACTGCATTTTCTCTCAAATAATAAGTTGATGTATGTAGATCCTCTGTGTGTGTGTGTGTGTGTGTGTGTGTGTCTATATATATATATATATATATATATATATATATATATATATATATATATATATATATATATATATATATATATATATATATATATATATATATATATATATTTATTGTATTTATGTATACATTAAAATTAATATATTTTTATATGCTTATAAAATATGTCATTAATAATTATATAATATAAATTTAAAAGTATATTTTTATATGATATTATAAAGGTATCTTTACCAAGTCTTCACATGGCTCTTGGAATTTATCTGAACTTTTTTAACTTCTTTGAAGATGAAGTGCATGAGTTAGATGTTTTATTGGCAGCAGAAGAAATTAAAATGACAAATAACTATACAGCTAGCTATTCAGAAGAATATCAAATCTTTGTAAAAGAACAGAAAGAATTATCAAATCTTCAATGTGAGATTGTCTGTCTTAATGAAAAACTTCAATCGATAAATGATATTGCTTTGCTTGCTGCAATACAGAATTCTGATTATGGCATGAATGTTCAATCTCTTTACAACTCTGATATTGATTCCATCAATTTCAAAAAAGGAGTAAAGGTTAAAAAAAATTAAATGCAGTATAATAAGGTTTTGATTTATATGTAACTCTGTGTTAAAGTTTTGTGATATCATAAATTATACAATCCAATTTTGGTAGAGTTTTTAATAATAACAGTCCAGTCCAATCATTCCAGTAATAAGACATTAAATTTTAATCGCTTTTTTTTAAATATAATATATAACTTATAAAATATTTTTTGTTTCTCTAGACTAATCAATACAATACTCTTATGCAAAAGCATTCACTGAAAAAAGGTCAAGGACCTTGCACAAGACAAATTGAGGCAGTTCTTCAAAAATTAAACGTGCAGCGACAAGCGTACCATGGAAAAAGCTTCATTGGAAACCATGTGCATAAAATGCTCAAAGTAATAGCTTTTTTTAATTACATATCATTTGATATAAGTAAAGTTTCATATTTCTAATGGTAGTATTTTAGTTAATAATAATATTACAAATTAACCTAACTAGCTTTGTTTGAATACTATATTGCATTATTATATTATAAATATCATTGTTAAGTAATATTATATAAAAATATTTATAAAATTATATATATAATAATTCTATTATATCTATAAAATGTGTTATATTACTTTCATAAGTTATATTTTATAACTTGAAATATTTTATTTTGTTTTTAAAATATTAATATATGCATTATAAATATTTGATTTAGAAGTCATCAATACTTGAATTATGCAATTCTATTCCAAAACTGGTTTATAATAAAGGATTATCTGGAACAGATGTTCATCAAACCGCAGTTGAAATAAGTACCAAGTATAAGAAACTGTTTGATAAATTTTCTCAATGCTACTATATTTTTTCTTCAAAAGTTATTATGACAACAGAAAAATTGACTCTGCTAAGTAAGTAATTTTTGTATTTTAATTTTTTTTTTCATTTCTGATTATTTTATCTGAAATCAGGTAATAATTAAACCAAGTTAACTTTTGTTAGAATTATTCTCATCTTTTATTTAGAAAAAAATATTGAAGACTTAATGCAATATTTTCGCGCAACTTTCCCTAATGCTTCAGTTACACCTAAGCTTCATATGTTGGAAAATCATGCTGTCCCATTTTTGAAAAAATGGGGTGCTGGCTTTGGGTATTATGGTGAGCAGGGTGGAGAATCAGTTCATATGGAGTTTAACAAACTAAAAACAATTTATCAATCAATTCCATCCCCAACAATGCAACTTAAAAGTATTTTAAAGTGTCACCATCAAAAGACAAATCCCGAGAACATTCTACTTAAGCCATGTATAAATAAAAGGAAAAGGTGATGAAAATAAAATTATGTATAAAATAACATGATTTTTTTTATTATTTTTGTTTTTTTTTGCTGAATTTTTAACAAATTATACAATATTTTAGAAAGTAACAAATGGCTTATAACATGAAGTAAAACGAAGAACTATAACGAGGAACTGTATAATGCATGCTATTAAAAAAAGGCTATTTTCATAGCCACATTTTATTAAAAGCTTATAATGGCATAAATGCTTTCATTCTGCATTTAAAAACTCTAAAAAAAATGTTATATTGGAAAGCAGATGGTAGTGTCATGTCTCATCAGATGGTAGTGTCGTGTCTATGGGACGTCTGTTTCCAAAAATATTTAAAAAACAAATTTACTTTTTATACATCTTTTTTTATGTTTAATTTAGAAACAGTTTTTATAAGAAAATATCTATAAATGTTAAATATTTTTCTTTCATTTTTAGAAAAAATGATTCACAAAGTTTGGAAGAGAATTAATGTATTTCCCATGTATTGGTTAAGCTATTGAAAAAAAAAGCTTTTGTATATGGTTTGCAAAGTTGTGTGAGATCTTTCCTCCGAAGATATTATGTGAAAAATGCAATGACAATTTCATTCCGATAAGGTAAAGATAATTCAAGGTTTCTCATATTTTTATTTCGACCTTAATAGCTTTTCAATATTTTTAATAGTAGTATGTAATAGTAGTATTTTAAAGATATTTATATATTTTGGGCAATAAATAATTAAATATATCCCTCAACAAATTTTTCACAACAAATGTTCTACAACAATATTCCACAACAAATATTCCACGACAAGTTATTAGTTTTAGTAAACTTATACTATATTAGACTGTTATATAGAAATAGTTATAAATTTGAATTAATAATATTTTTGGAACATAGTTCAAGTGCAATGGTTTTTCAAGAAAGTAATAAATTTAGATGGTGCCATATAAATTTATTATTATTTATCTTCCTTTTAGATTTGTTTTTTGTTACATCTACACCGCTAACATCGTCGAATGCGAGAAAAGCTGTTACTGTTTACTGTGGGAGAGTTTAAATGATTGTAAAGTTTTGTGATGTTCTAATGGAATAAACTTTATCTATTTAAATAAAAAGTAACACAAGATAATATTAAAATGGTTTTAGAAGCAGTTAAAGTTAAGTTACCATTTTTTGAAAACAAGCCAGGAAGGCACGTTTTATTTCAGATTGTGTTATAATATTTTTTCTAAATAGGTTTTTCCATTTTTTTTGTTTAACACATAATATGTAAAATATTAAAAATATGAAAATCGCATTAAAAAATAACCAGTGTTATAATATGTATCTTTCCTTTTTCCATATTTGTTTTTACCGAATATACAGTGTGTATTACACACAGAACACATCTATACTAGTGGATTAAGACTTTTCGAGGCCCAGTGCTTCTTTTTTTTGGAGGCATTTTTTATGCGCCACAGCCTAAAATCGACTTTTACAAAAAATGGGGGTTGTTTTTAAAAATTTCAGGTGTACAGCCTACCTTAATCCAGCACTGCCTCCTTGTTTTGAATGGAATTTGTTATTTTTAGAAAAGATTAAGCTTGTGTCAGTACTGTCTCTGAATCAAAAACCCAAATCGTACCTTTTGCTCTTATTTTCTGTTGTTTAGCATTTGCTTCGCCTGAGACAGCAACCAAAATTGGAGTCTTTATATGCGCCACAGCCTTATAATGACTAATAATTTGAAAAAAGGTTCTCTTACAAATTTCGGGGCCCCTTAAATTATCTCCCCCCCCTCCTTTAATCTAACATAACATATTTTCATAACATAACAACATAACATATTTTCTGCTTCCATAATTTTTGTTTATAATTTCTTGGCATAATAAAACTCAGAAATTAAAATTTTTTATATTTATACTGACTTTCTCAAATTTCCCGTTAATCTTAAACAAAATTTATTTTGTATATAAATTGTGGCCACCAAGAGTATTCGCGTCGCCTAAGACAGCAACAAAGATTAGCGTATTTTCACCCTTTTAATCTTATCTTTAAAGTTGGGTTATTAAGCGGGCGAAGAATATTCCTCGCACTAAATCTTATCTAGATTACTAAAGATATCTTTAGTCAGGGTTATCTGTTCAGTTGATCTGGTATATTTAGGATTATAATAGATCATTTTTAAGACTTAATGCGTTATACCTGTTCTAAAGTACATATAATAAACCTATTCTAACATGCTTTCTACTTCCATGATTTAGTTTCTAGGCATAAATAAAAATTCAATTTTATACTCATTTAATGCAAAAACATTTACGTGGATTTTGTAAAATCTTATTTCTATCATTACAACAATCAAACTACCCTATAATTTTCAGATATTTACAGTTGTCATTTTCACTACACTGGGTGACATTAACAAGGGTTTAAGTGACCCTATGTAGTGGGCCAAAGACATTTTTTTGAGCGCCACTCAAAAAAGGTTTGAACGTTTCCGAAACAAGAAAGAATCCAAATATGATGATTTAAAATCAATTTAGTGCATGTTTAGGTAAAATACCTTAACCAAGATACTGCTATGCATTACAGAATTTAAAAAAAAGAAGATTATACCTGTTTCTAACGGAGCGCTCTTTCTATATGTTATAAATGTTACAAAGATACAAATAAAGTTAGACCCCAGTTCACACTTATAATCTATTAATATTTTTGTAAAGAATAAGGCCATTGCCTCAAATAAATATATTTTTACATTGTTCACCTCCCCAAAGACGAGGGGGTTACTACAGCCAAGGAGGCTACTCATTTTTTTGTGTTTTTTATTTTTTGTTCTTATTCGGGGTACAACCCTCTCAACTCTTTAAATATATATATATATATATATATATATATATATATATTATATATATATATATATATATATATATATATATATTTAATTAATATGTTTTTATCACATTAAATAAACTTATTCATTTTAACTTTTTAAGGTCACATTTAACTTTGATAGATTATTTAATTTTTAGATATAAACCTGTATAAAGTTTGTAATATTCGTAATAATGCAATATAGACAAACGGAAGAAAAAGCAACATTGGTATAATTTAAAAAATATATATTTATTTTATGCATCAAATAAATATCAATCAACACAAAATAAAAGATCAAAATATAATTCAAATGAAAATATAAATATCTTTTATGCATTAAATACATTTTTCATTCGTTCAATCTTTATGTAAAAAATATTCTAAATATATTCATATTGATTTTAAAAATCTCAAGCTGAAAAACATTAAAAAATTTAAACACAAAACACAAAAAATATTTATATCGAGTTCCAAGAATAAGTCTTTCTGCTTTAGTTTACTTTTCCCTTCTTTACAACATGTAAGTTTCTTCGTAGAGACGCAAATATGGTTGGAATAATAAAAAAATATATACTATAATATTTGTTTGTTTTAAATCAATTTTTATCATAATTTATTAATTTTGAATCAATATGTACAAAACCAACTGATGATTCAATCAATAGAATTAAAATGATAGCATTCAATCGATAAAATCAAAAACATAACTAATTGTATTCCTTTGATGCAGGCAATACAGTTGATTTATTTAACCTTATTGACTAAATCGAAAGCCTGGAATAACAACATTCAAAATTTTGATCATAGATAAGAGTGTGCATAAATATATAATGTATGTATGTAAGTATATATATATATATATATATATATATATATATATATATATATATATATATATATATATATATATATATATATATATATATATATATATATATATATAGTATATATATATATATATATAGTATATATATATATATATATATATATATATATATATATATATATATATATATATATATATATATATATATATATATATATATATATATATATATATATATATATATATATATACATATATTAGGGCCTTGTGAATTGCTTCGATTTGTGAATCAAGTGTCGCTTCAATTCAAGTCGAAAAAAAAAGATTCAAGTTTTTCCAAATCATATTTTTGCGAATGTTACTCAAATTTGATTTTCCATAAATAGCTGATTTGATTCGCCAATCAAGACCTGCTTGGAGATTCAATTCGAAACAAAAAAATGTTGATTTGCAGGGCTCTAATATATACATTATATATATATATATATATATATATATATATATATATATATATATATATATATATATATATATATATATATATATATACATATATATATATATATATATATATATATATATATATATATATATATATATATATATATATATATATATATATATATAAATTATGTTACTAACATATAACAATATTATGCTCTTTTCTTTAAGAATATTGAGCACTCTATTTTTCGAATACACTAACATTGTTAGTGCATTCTACAAATAGAGTGTTCAATATTCTTAAAGAAGAGAGCAGTAATAAAAGAATCAAACATTTATCTAGTTTTTTGTACTTTGACAGTCTATTCAACTCCTTCAGAAGGTTTAACAAATATGTATATAAATATATATATATATATATATATATATATATATATATATATATATATATATATATATATATATATATATATATATACATATATATATATATATATATATATATATATATATATATATATATATATATATATATATATATATACATATATATATATATATATATATATATATATTTATATATATATATATATATATATATATATATATATATATATATATATATATATATATATATATATATATATATATATATATATATATATATATATATATATATATATATATATAGCCACATCGTAAAAGAGCACCATAGCAACAGGTTACACAAGTTTAATGATTAAGATTTTCTTTTAACCCTGCAAAAAAAATTGAATCCTCATATAAGCAAAAAATACAAAAAAGATAAAAGGTTCATCTTGCTGATTAAGTTTAAATTAAAAAATTTCTACGCTCAAAAATATTTTAAAAAAGGTTTAAAAATTGTAAACAAAAAAACTAAAGTTGCTTCAGCTGAAAGTAGATATTGTTCACATTCAGAGGTCTTATATTTTATTTAAAAAATTTCTTCGTACAGCCACAAGCTACTTTTAAAATAATTTTATGAAAAAACTAGTTAAAAACCTATTTAATTATCTAAACTTCAACAAATTACTCGTTGTCAATGATTAGTTTTTATGATGCTGTTACCGTAGCCATTTTAAAAAACTTTCATGATATGTAATTCCACTGCGCATGCGTATAATAACTTTCCTTTTACAAACGACCGTGCGTAACAGACAACTTCCGTTTTAAAAACCTCTGAAGTAAATGATCGAAAACGTTGATATGTAACGTTGCTACAATTATAAAAAATCTCTTTTTACTCAAAATTAAAAAAAAAAAAGCAAAAATACTATTTAAATTGCTTTAAACAATGCAATACAAACGTTTTTAGAATAAGCCCGCCGTCGTTCACTTTTGCAAACTGATATATAAATATTATTTAATATTATAATTTTAAATACTAATTTTAAATTCTTAAAAGATTTTATTTAAACTTAAAAGCAAAGTAGACAACAAAACAAAGAAGCATAAAAGATAATTACAAATTAATTAAAAAAAAAATCATTATCTTACATAAACACGAGATCAATAATATTTTAACAACTTTTATACAAAGAGCTTTATACAACGAGTTTTATTTTTTTATTGAAAAGACATCGTCGAATTAGTGCGTTTACAATTATTTGCACCATTTTTATTATTAATTAATCGCAAAATATTTTTCTTTGCATATTTAAAAAACGATGTTTTTATAAATATTTTCAAATTGTTTATAAATATAATTAATTAGAGGCGCAACTAAAGTAAAAAGTAGGGGGGGGGGGAGGGGGAGGGGGGAGGAACCTAAGTTCCTACTTGGAGCTTTGCATTTTCAGCAATTGGTCAAAAAATCCATACAAAATTTATTTCCAAAATTAAAATTAAAATCAGAGAAATTAACAGTCTTTGCACAATAATCCTCGTTAATTAGAACTTTTTTTCCTTTTGATTTCGAAAGGTGAAAACAAGTAAATACACATATAAAGATGTTAACCTTGATAGAAACAGTTGTTTACTCAAGATTTTTTTTATTTTTTTCATAGAAAAGACATCGATTTAGCTTTATTTAAGTTTATTTTAACCATTTTAAATCTAAAATC